CCCAGGCCCAGAGTTCAGGCCCCACGACCTAACCCAAAAAAAAAAAAAAAAAAGAATGAAACCCGGAGTTTAAGGACCCACACAATAGAGGAACTGAATAAGGGGAATAGAACATGCCAGTCTGTACAAGTCCTGGCAGTAAAGTGACAATGTTACAATCTTTCTCTTCTCCCCCATCTTCCTCTCCCCTTTTCCTTCCTTTCAGCACTAGGAGTTAAGCCCAGTTTCCAAAGCATGCAAAGCAAGTGCTCCATTACTGAGCTGTGTCTCAGCCTCTGCTAACTAGATGAAATGAGACAAGGGATCCAGTTTCACTTTTCCACTGATATTTATATTCAATTGTCCCATGACACTCATTGGGAAATAACCTGGTGGTTACTTCCACAAGAAAAGCCAAGGAAAGGCATTAGGTAATTGTGCCTTGGGTTCACAGGTGAGATAAAAACTCTAATTTCTACATCACTTTAGAAAATGCAATAGATTTAAGCCAATGAGACACACATGCCATTCTGAAGCATTACTTTTGTTGTTGTTGTTGGACGTGGGGCTTGAACTCTGGGCCTGGGTGCTGTCCCTCAGCTCTTCAGCTCAAGGAGAGCACTCTACCACTTGAGCCACTGTGCCACTTTGGTTTTCTGAGTAGTTTATTGGAGATAAGAGTCTCACAGACTTTCCTGCCCAGGCTGGCTTTGAACCGTGATCCTCTGATCTCAGCTTCCTCAGTAGCTAGGATTACAGGTGTGAGCCACCGACACCCAGCAGCATTACCTTTCTGAGTAGACAATACCCAAGCTCAGGACCCTTCTATTCTCCTATGGAAATCCTATACCTCAGTTAGATCAGCACAGCATGATGGTTCCTCCTCCATCAGGTCTTTGTTCCAGTGCTATCTTCTCTGCTGGACCTTTCCTGGACTTTGCAACCATCCCTCTTGGCACTGCCTAGCTCACTCACTGCTTTATTCTCCTATGCCTTGTTTATGTTTCTGTATGTTAACTTCTCTTACTTATTTTACTGGTTCGTTCATTAGATTTAAGCTCCTCAAGGACAGAGACTGCCTACTGCGCTCTCAACTCCAGCTCCAGGACTTGTTATAGGCCAGGAACACCCAGAGCACTCCATGAATGCTTGCTGAAGGATTCACAGGGAGAGGCTACAGAGATGAAAAGCAGCGTTTTCCACCAGCAGTCTGCTGTGATCAGCACACGACACATGCAGAAAGATAGCATACATTTAGTTTCAAAACAAAAATTAGAAACTTCAGTCAAGTAATCTTTTTTTGGTCCGTGCTCACACATGTTCCAGCCATATACTTCACAAGCTTGTAATATTTTTGTACCTTTTTTTTTGGTGACTTGGCAGTTGCTAGGAAGAATTTCTTGTGCTTCTACCTGATTTCTCCCACTAACTTCTAAAGAAGGAAGCTTCCTTCAAAAGCACTGTTCTTAAAAACACATGCCAGACTATTTTACCATATGAAAGGTCAGCTTTCTTTTTATTTTTTATTTTTGGAGCCAGTCCTGGGGCTTGAACTTAAGAGCCTGGGCATTGTCCCTGAGTTTTTGTGTGCAAGGTTAGTGCTCTAGCACTGGACCATGAGCCACCAGTGCCTGGATTACTTATGATCTTTCAGCACAAAAAGTGAATCTGTCTCTGAACATTTAAAATACTACTCATTGGCTGGGCACTGGAGGTTCATGCCTTTAATCCTAGTTAATCAGAAGGGTGAGAACTGAGGATCATTGTTCGAAGCCAGCCCGGGCAGAAAACTGAGACTTTTTTTTTTGGTAGGTCATGGGGCTTGAACTCTGGACATTGTCCCTCAGCAATTCAGCCCACAGCAAGTGCTCTACCACTCAAGCCACAGCATTACTTCTAGATTTCTGGTGGTTAATTAGAGGTAAGAGTCTCATGGACTTTCCTGCCCAGGCTGGCTTTGAACTGTGACCCTCAGATCCCAGCCTCCTTAGTAGCTTGGATTATAGGCATGAGCCACCAGTGCTCAGCCTCTGTGAAACCTTTTTTTTTGGGTCCGGTCATGGGGCCTGAACTCTGGGCCTGGGCGCTGTCCCTCAGCTCTTCAGCTCAAGGCTAGCACTGTACCGCTTGAGCCACATTGCCACTTCCGGCTTTTTTCATTTTGCTTATGTGGTGCTGAGGAATCGAACCCAGGGCCTCAGGCATGCAAGGCAAGTGCTCTACCACTGAGCCACCTTCCCAGCCCCATCTGTGAAACTCTTATCTCCAATAAACTACTCAAAAACAAAAACAAAAAAAAACAGGAAGTGGCACTGTGGCTAAAGTGGTAGAGTGCTTGCCTTGAGCAAAAAGAAGCTCAGGGACAGCATCCCAGCCCAGAGTTCAAGGCACAAGACTGGCAAAAAAAAATGTGTGTGTATGTGTGTGTGAACTGAAACAAACTCCAGGAAATGGAAACATGGGATTTTTGTTGTTGTTGTTGTTAAAAATAAATAGGTGGAGACACAGACACGGAGAGACAAAGGGTGAATAAATGCAGCAGTAGTACTCACTAGACACTATGTTGAAAATGAACTATAAAACTTGTGGGTAAGGATAGGAGAGAAAAACAGGGAGAGAACAAGGGAAGGGGTGACACTGTATAAAATGAAATGTATTCTTTACCTAACTAATGAAACTGTATTTTCTTTTTTTGGGGGGGGGGTCCGGTTGTGGGGCCTGAACTCTGGGCCTGAGCGCTGTCCCTCTCAGCTCTTCAGCTCAAGGCTAGCGCTCTACCACTTCAGCCACTGCACCACTCCCGGCTTTTTTCTTTTTGCTTATGTGGTGCTAAGGAATCGAACCCAAGGCCTCAGGCATGCAAGGCAAGCGCTCTACCACTGAGCCACCTTCCCAGCCTCCTAATGTAACTGTAATCCCTCTGTACGTCACCTTTTTATTTTTTTGGGGTCAGTTGTAGGGCTTGAACTCTAGGCTTAGGCGCTGTCCCTCAGCTCTTCAGCTTGAGCCACAGCGCCACTTCCAGTTTTCTAGTAGTTTATTGGAGTCTCATGGACTTTCCTGCCTGGGCTGGCTTTGAACCTCGATCCTCAGATCTTAGCCTCTTGCGTAGCTAGGATTACAGGCATGAGCCACCGGCGCCCAGCTGTACGTCACCTTTATAATAACTATGCATATATATATACATATATATGCATATATGTATATATATGTGAATATTTATATATAATCTTTCATGCATGAATTTATCAGAGGGTAAACTATGTACTCAATAAACAAAATGGGTAAATTACGGTTTATCAGTACCTGGTACCAGCCATTCCCCCACTATAAAACATCCCTAGCATCATCTACAATACAAAGACACCAGGGTTAGGGCAGAACATAATTGGTCAGGTTATCTGTGCTATACAAGTAAAATTTATTTCAGATGTGCATAATCTGGCAATTTGCCAATATAACAATTTCAAGACAGGGCTGGGAAGGTGGCTCAGTGGTAGAATGCTTGCCTTGGATGCATGAGGCCCGGGTTCAATTCCACAGCACCACATAAGCAGAAAAAGCTGGAAGTGGCACTGTGGCTCAGGCGGTAGAGCACTAGCCTTGAGCTGAAGAGCTCAGGGACAGCGTCCAGACCCAGAGTTCAGGCCTCACAACAAAAATAATAATAATAATTTCAAGACAGTATCTAGACATCATTCAAGTTAATCAAGACACTTTAAGAAACATAAGTTAACAAACATATCTATTTCTAAAGTTTTCTAGTAAGTGTTAAATACTATAAAATGTTGTAAAGTAGTCAGGCGTTGGTGGCTCATACCTGTCAGCCTAGCTACTCAGGAGGCTGAGATCTGAGGATCGTGGTTCAAAGCCAGCCTGGACAAAAAAGTCAGTGAGACTCTTATCTCTAATAAACCACCAGAAAACCAGGAGTGGCACTGTGGCTCAAGCGGTAGACCACTTGCCTTGAGCTGAAGAGCTGAGGGAGAGTGCCAAAGCCCAGAGTTTAGGCCCCACAACCGACAAAAAAAATCCCAAAAATGTTGTAAAGCAATAGGATTTTTTGAGACATGGAAAAAACATTGAAAACACCAATGACTTTACTTGTTGCATTCTACTTAGTTAAAAATGGTTTAGAAGCATTGTTTGGGTGAGGGATGAAGCTATATTGTATGTAGAAACTCAGAAGTAAATTACCCTTTTCTAGAACACAAATGTGCTAAATCTCAAGCATGGTTCAGGCGTGCTAAGACTCAAAGAAGAGCAACTCACCTCAAAGTTGTACTTTTTCATCTGGTTGAGGTGCCGGCAGTACAGATATAGCATGCCGATGCTGCTGCCCACCGCAATGTAGTCCCCATTGGTATCCAGGGCTGTGAGGTAGACCACAATAGAGCGGAAACCCTTCTGGATCTTCGTGGGAATGGCATTGAGGAGATAGTATAAAGGGCAGAACTCTCTGAACGTAACAGGCTCTGACATGGAGGCCATGACCAAGGTTTCTACAGATGGTCTTCAGGCAGGGAAAGGAATGTTTATTCCTCATGGAGGAGAACCTGGGGCTACAGAATAAGAAACAATATCATATATGTATATATATAAATAAATATATGTCATAATAAGGATTATTATATTATACTGAATGGCTAGTCATGTCAAAAAGAAGTAGTGTTTAATAGTGGAACATGGGGGTAGGGCAGAGCACTTGCCTAGCAAGTGAGAGGCAGTATTCAAACCCCAGTACTTCCAAAAAGAAAGAAAACAGTGGAATATGGAATTTTCAGGCAGGGAAGAATTACAGCTTAAAGAAAGAAAGAAAGCTGGGCATTGGTGGTTCACACCTATAATCCTAGCTACTCAGGAGGCTGAGATCCAAGGATCACAGTTCAAAGCCAGCCTGGGCAGGAAAGTCTGTGAGACTCATCTCCCATTAACCACCAAAATGCTGGAAGTGGTGCTGTGACTCAAAGTGGTGGAACGTTAGTCTTGAACACAAAGAGGCTCAGGGAAGTGTCCAGGCCCTAAGTTCAAGCCCCAGGATGGGGAAGGAAGGAACGGAGGAAGGAAAGGTAAATTAGCAGCTACTAAAGATCATTTTAGAGCATTTTAATTCAAAAAGCACTTCGGAAAGTACCAGCCCCTAAGATTTATGTTGTAAATAGTATGGAAGAGGAGGAAAAGTTTAACAGTCTTTCTCATGATCTTGTCAGCCAGTCAGGTAACACAATAAAGAAATACAAAATCACCAATAATTACATGTTACTCCACGGGTCTTGATGAGAAGAGGGAGAGATCAGCATGGATTAATGTGAGTGTGGAAGACTTCACTGGAAACATCCTGAGGTATGAAGCCCACCAGGTTGCACAGGATATGGAAGAGAAAGAGAAAAGTTCTTGCATACAAGCAGACAGTGAACCCACCCCAGATGCAGAAATGTGCTTCCTGTGGTAATGAAATGGTGAAGAAGCCGGTCCCCTACTACTCACGGCTGCCTCGGTGTTCAGAGTCCAGTCACCCAGCACTTCCCACATGGGCCCCCTGAGGGCCCCCATGCCCCTGTGCATGTGTGATACCAGGCTTCCCGAAGCAAGACACTTTACCTTTGCCCTGCACACTGCGTTTAAGCAAGAGCTTACTTGCTCCTTTAATCCTTGCCCTATCTGGAAAATAAGGTGGTATCACCCCCAGTACCGAGGACCAGAGAGTCATGAAATCCAACAAGAGACCATACAGCCAAGACTTGAATATAGGCCATTCCCTCCAAGGCCTAGATCCTTGGATACAGTTCTGATGGATAATCACCTGATGGAGGGATTTTAACCCTTGACGTCTGTAGTAGAAATTTTTTAGGACACTGGATTTATAGTCTTTTTGATCTGTGGACCTTTTCTATATAGCTGACCAACGGACTTACGATCCTTCTGATTAAATTCTCCCACCTCGTTTTCACCTAGGGTCCTTGCACTGGCTGCTTGGAGTGCTTTCTCTAGGCACCATGTATCTTTTGCTGAAGAAGGGCCTCAGGCCCCAAACAAAGTCTTGTCTGACTTTACCCACCCCAGCAAAGCACTAACACAATGGCTGCTTTGCTTCTCCAATAGCGCCCTGCTTTCCTGTTCATGCATGTGTACCTACACACAGGCGTACACCCACCCTCCCACACACAATCAGTAAACCCCACGGGAGCAGAGGCCACACCCACCCTACCCATCCCCTTAGCCCAGCACCTGAAAAAGGGCTAGTGTGTGAGAGGCGTTGGGTGAGTCTGCACTGGATAGCTAGGTAGATAATGGAAGAGGAAACTGTTTGGGGAAAGAATGAGTGACACGAATCAAAGAGAGCCACAATTACCACCTTTTGTTCATGACAGCCCAACCAAAGGCTAGCAAACAGGGTAAGATCCAGTTTTCCAAGCATTTTCAGAATAGTCACAACCACCAATGCACAGTAAAAATCTATGAAAGAGAAACTTCCTAAAGCCAAGCAAATACCCATATCACTCAGTTGATTATTAATGAACTTAATTAGCTAAGTACTGGTGGCTCACACCTGCAATCCTCGTTACCCAGGAGGCTGAGAGCTGAGGATCATGGTTCAAAGCCAGCCTGAGTAGGAAAGTCCATGAGCTTCTTATCTCCAGTACTAAACAAAGAAAGAGAGGAAAGATAGGAAGGGAAGAGGGAAGCAAGCAGTGAGAGCACAGTCCATCAAGAGACAAAGACCAAAAGTTTATTTTTTGGTAGTATTCAGGATTGAAGTCTGGGCCTGGTACTGTCTTTGAACTTCAGTTGTGGGACTTGAACTCTGGGCCTGAGCCCTGTCTCTCAGCTCTTCAGCTCAAGGCTAGTGCTCTACCACTTGAGCCACAGCACCACTTCTGGTTTTCTAGTTGTTTATTCAAAATAAGAGTCTCATGAACTGTGTTGCCTGGGTTGGCTTTGAACAGCAATCCTCAGATCTCAGTCTCCTGAGTGGCTAGGATTACAGGCATGAGCCACCAGCACCTGGCCTTGTCTTTGAGCTTTTGTGGTCAAAACTAGCACTGGTAGTTCATGTCTATAATCCTAGCTACTCAAGAGGCTGAGATCTGAGGGTTTCGGTTAAAAGCCAGCCCATGCAAGAAAGTCCATGAGACTCTTATCTCATGATCCTGGTTCAAAGCCAGCCCAGGCAACAAAGTCCATGAGACTCTTACCTCATTAGCCACCAGAAAATCATAAGTGGTGCAGTGGCTCAAAGAGGTAGAGTAGTAGCCTTGAGTAAAAGAGCTAAGGGATAGAGCTCTCAGGCCCCAAGTTCAAGTGTATGACCAGAAAACACACACACACACACACACACACACACACACAAAACCTAGCACTAGGGACTGGGAAGGTGGCTCAGTGGTAGAGCGCTTGCCTTGCATGCCTGAGGCCCTGGGTTCGATTCCTCAGCACCACATAAGCAAAAAGAAAAAA